AATCGTCATAGCCATATAGTTTCTCCCCTTCATTAATAAATCATAGTAAGAAAGTAAAAGTTTACAAGACTTAAATCTCATGTCTCCATGAAAGCTATAAGCCATGATTCTGCAGTAGTCACCCTTTGATTAACATTTTGATTGAAATTAGAGAAGCTATCATGAGAGATTGGATGGTATTATGTATGAACATAGATTCAAGTATATTAAATTTGCATCTTGAAGAAAAAATAAGTGTAGTATAGATTATTAAGTTTTGCATCTGTTATACAACGGACACTCGTAATTGCAATTAATTAACTACGACGTTATTTATGAATGTGAAATTCCAAACGTTGTATGATGCTCCCTTTGCCTGCATTGATTTGCTCGTGAATACTGAGGTTGGCCATTATACATGGTAGTTAGTTTATTCCTATGCATGGCTTCATATCACACAACACAGGTTGTATTCAAAGAAGAAGAGTTAGATCTCAAAAGCTTATTGATAGACTTAGTAGAATATAGTTAGGCCATGTTTGATATCTAGGATCCTGAGGTTGGAAATGGAATTAGACGAGGAATTCATTTGAAAGTGTGTGTGTGTGTGAAATAATCATGATTTAAATCTTGATTTCATCAAAAGTTCTAGAATTTAATTCCATCATCACTCCTATGGAATCGAGTTATTGTTCATGAAATCTATTTTTTTCTCACTATTATCCTCATCAACACTTGGCTCTTCAATCTCTCACCCCACCATTAAGCATCAACCAGGACCAAACCCTCAAACCACCCCACGACAATAGCCCTCTCACTCTGGCATTTATCTACGGCCACAAGATCAACAAGGAAGATCCTAACTTCTCCCTCAACTCCGAGAGATGAAAGATTTGCCCCAAGACTCCTCCAAACTCCTCGATAACGTTGACTTGCTATTGAGCATCAATTGAATGCAAGGACGATGACCATGAGGTAGGGCAAAGAGAGATCTAGTAGAGTGAGCTAAGCTTGAAGTGGTTCCTTCAGCTCCCCAAATTTCACCTTGTCCAATTGGGTTTCAATTTCTACCCTTGTTTCACAAAATTCTCAATTGAGGTTTGGGAGGACCAAGCTCCTCCATTGAGTTTCTCTACCCTTGTTAGCAAAGGCTTCTCTTCCCATTGAGCTTTTTTTCCTTGGTTCCACAAATTTGGTTGTTGCTCCTCCTCTATATTTGAACTATTTTGTTATTGTAGTTTCTGGCTTTGATTGTTGCTCAAGTATGATATGGTGTCCGCTGATGGGTCTGTGTGTTGTCATCATTGTTGGCTCATGCTGTTCGTGGAAAGAAGAGGGAAAAAGGAAGGGGACATACAAGGCTTTAATTTTGAGAAAAAGGGTACTATAGTTTTCTTATTTTAAGTACAAATATTTATCAAAATTATATTATGATTCCATTATCACATTGAACACAATTTTAAAACCTAATTTTATTCAAATTTCAATCTCAATTTCATAAAAAACTCTTTTATTATACCAAATAAGGCCTTAGAGATTACTCACAATGAGACCTTAATATATAAGTTCCACATCAAGACGTCTTGCAAAAAAAGAATAATGAAGTTTATAAGTTTAAAGAACTTTCATCTAATAATTTAGTTTTTTTTTTATGGGCTTCTCCTTTAAACTCTTGCACATGTAATATTGGTGTTTTTTTTGAGAGGCTATTATTGTCACGAAAAAGGACTATCCATTAAAGGTTTTGACTAGTAGGAGGCTGAGTGAAATGCTGTGAAGTGAAGCTATTAAAAATGCATGTTAACTATTAAAATGGGGGTGCATTGTTATGACTCTTATATTGGGAAACCTCATAAGATCAGAGTGTTTTATAAGTTAAAGAAGTTCTTTTATCCAACATGATAGTATTTTGATATAAGCTCTCTTTAAACTTGTGCTTGGTAACATTATACGAATAACATGTTTTCACTTCAATTGAACTTTGAACTTGACGTGGTGAGATATAAGGCTTGCTTGGCACCCTATTTTGTAAACAGTTTTTTATTTTTTTAAAAAAAATTGTTTGATAATGTATTTTTATAAAATGTTTTGGAAAAAAAATCAAATATTATTTGAGAGAATAGAAAAATAAAAACATCTTTTAAATGTTTTAGAATTATTGTTCTGGATAATAAATAAGAATACAAAAAATCACCTATTTTTATTTTTTTTTGCTTTCAAAATATGTTCTAAAAAACTCTAATTTTTAGAACAATAAAACAAAAATAATTTTAAACAAACCCCTAAATCTCTTCATGGTTATCAACAAGACCAATATTCAATAACACATAGATAAAGCACATTTTTTTTGTGTTATATAGACAAAGAACACATTTTTTAATTTTGTATTATGTTGGAGAGAGAGAAAATATGTTATTAAAAAGTGTGTATATTTAATAGAGATAAAGTTAATAACTTATTAAATTTTAAGATAGAGTTAATGAATTTTAAAATTTTTTTCAATACTGGTAAAATATGTTAGAAGAAATTTGTAAATAGGATTAGAGTAATAAATCAGAGCCCAACCTTCTTTGTAAAAATTTGAATTTTGTGCAAGATTTTGGTTTAAGTTTGTTACAATCTTTATCGTGGGGTTTGGTGTGTCGAGTTAATGTTGCTAGTTACAATAATTACACAAGATCACTTTGATTGATAACTTTAAACCAACGTCATTCACCCAATTCAGTTAATGCATGGAAGGCGCAACATGATATAGAGCATGCATGCTACACCGGTTTTTAATACAAAACAAAGCTAACAAACTTCAACTTTTTTATAATAAACGTTAATTGTAACATTGAAATTGAAAATTGAAATTGTAAAAAAATTTGTAAATTTTCAATTTTACCCGTTCTTTGTAGTTAATTATTGTAATAAATTATTGTTTAGAAATTTAAATAACAATAAATAAATAATGAATAAAATTAAAAATATTAATTAATTACTCTAATTTCATCTTATATTTACAGGCAAAAAAAAAAAAAAACTTTCAAACTTTATCTTATATTGAGAAGCAAAGGGAGTATAGATCCTTGGAGTTTCTTTAAAAAATAAATGCCAGTCTTTTTTTTTTTTGGTTTGAATAAAAGGAATAACTACATATTGTCTCTTGCATTATTTTTTAAATTTCCATTTTTACTCATTAAGTTATCATTGTTTAGTTAGTAAGGGAATTTTAAAAAACTAAATTTCAAACATATTTATTAATTTTAACTCTATTCCTTAATTCATGTGAAATGATTTATTTATTTTTTATACAGATGTCTGAAGGGAGTGTATATTAAACAATTACTTCGTAAAATAATATTAAAAAAACTCGGATTCCATTATAAATTAAAAGATGTTTGCAAAAAGAAATTGTTCATTGTTTATATTTTTTATTATTATGATATCATATACAATCGTTTATTTGTTATGGTTATAAAATTTAGAATCCGATCCATTTTTACTAGTCACTTGCAAAACCAACAAACCAATTTTAGAATTCATTTTTACTATTCAACTATGGCGCCAACTATCCTTTATATCATGACCACTTTGCTTTTTTGGTGCTGTCAAATGTGGGGTTTGAGAGCGTTTGCATATCCAAATTTACTTTTTCCCCGTTACGTTAAAAACTAGTCATTCACGTTGGGATTAATTAAAAGTATGCTCATATAAAATTGAAACCAGTATAATCTTTTTTTATATAAACTTAAGACAAATATTCCTTCAGTTAATAAATATAAAGTATTTTTAATTAAATTTTATTTTAATAAAATAATTAATTATCTTCCAACTAACACTATCTTTTTATATTTACCTTTATGTAATGAGATATTTTATTTTTAAATAAATATAAAGTACTTATTAGGGTACTTTTAGAAAAAATCAAATTAATTACACTTTAAAATATTAAAAATACCTTTTATTTTCGAACATTCAACCTTTTAAAAAATATTTTATATTTTTAAACAAGAGAAATATATTTTATTTTCTTTTCATTCTTCTTGGTCCTCAATCCTACGTGCTCTAAACATTCTGTGAAGATAAATACCATTTCATCATGAAGGTAATTTAATTAATTTGATTTCATCTCTCTGTGCTTGAAATAAAAATTATAATTTTTATATGTCATACAATACCTAAGGAATTCATCACATATGTTACAGCTAATTAAACTCTTATAAATTGACATTTAATTAAGTCCTTACATTCAGATATGGATAGAATTTTTTGTTGTTATTATATATAAATTGTTATTAAGTGAGTGTGAATTATGCATGTAAATTTTACAGGAAAACATAAGCAAGTGAGAAAGAAAAGGAAAGGAGAACATATTGGACCCAGAAAATAAATAGGATGTGTGTGGTGTGAAGATCAATATCTCTCTGCTTTGCATGGTCCTACGCACACCAATAAATTTCCATTCTTTGCTTGTAAAGAGAAAGCAAGGATCTAATGTCACTTCATCTGAATGAAGGCAAAATTTAGAAGAAAGAAAAGAAGATCAATCCTCAAGAAGGTGAAATTTTGAATCATAATTAAAGTACCGATAATTCTATTCAACTCAACATTTATCCCACTTCATGCCATTGACAACCTGGCTCCCTCTTTCTCTCCCTCTCTCTCAACAAGCTTCCTTCCTCTTTCCTTGAATTTTTTTAAGTTTGTCAGGCTATTTCTATTAAACTTAAATACTTCAAAATTAATACTTTTTATTTTAAAATAAATAAATAAAACCCAAAGTAGAAACAACTTTTAATCATAAAGTCAGCAAATAATACTAAAATAGTCAAAACTACAAAATTGAATATAAATCCTTCTAATTTAATCTGTAATCAAACTATGAAAGATAAAGAATTTAAGGGTAATTAAAAAAAAAAAAAAAGCAAGGGCAAGAGATGTTGAATTGCTCTGTCTAAATTCTCAAGCCTCAAACTCAAACCCTTTCCTTATAAGAGCGTCCGAAAGCAGAGACTCTCAAAAAACTCTCTCTCTCTCTCCCCCTCTCTCTCTCTCGTTCTTCTCCTTCCTTAGGCGTGGAATTTGGCTTTGATTACTTTCTCTCTCTAAAACCATCAAGCACTCAGCAACACTACCCCCATGTCTCCATCCTTTCTTCTTATTTCCTTCACACCAGAGCGCTTTAACACACTCCTTGACCTTGCTCGGGCAAAAATGGCCATGCCATTCTTCTTTTGCATAATCATTCGTACCTATCTCTCCCTTTAGTCTCTCTTTCTCTCTCTCCTCTTCTTTGTTTCATGATTCTCACAGAGTACTCCAACCCCATTAAATCCCTTTTGCATCAGTACTATTTGAAGCAGACAAGAAAGGCCAAGTAATTGATAGCCTCCATTTCACAGTCCCCTGTTTCTCTGCTGCTTCTCTTTCCTCACTCCTTCACTTTCATCGCTTTGGCTTCTTCTTCTCTAAAAAGAAACAAGATCACCAATGGAGAAATGGGATCGTCATAAACGGCACAACAGAGAAAACCCATCTTTCTCTTCCACTCTTCTCGACTCAATTTACAGATCCATTGAAGCAGAGGAGAAGCAACAAGACCACCTCGTGTTTTACAGAGACAAGAGCGTGATGAGGAAGCAGAAACAGAGCAGCAACGTCACCACCAACAGCCTCAAGAACTTCTTCGATGACGCCGATGTCGGAGAAACTAAGAAACCACCCAATTTCGTCGGAATTCTTTGACGGAGTTCGATCGAAGAAGAGTACGAAGCAACTATAATTCAAATTCCTTCTCCATGTTCTCGACTCCAGCTCCTCTGACTCCAGTTCTGGTTATGGTTTTTCTTCTTCAGAGTCAGAGTCCTGGTACAAAATGCAGAAACCGAAGCCGATTCGAACCAGTATTTCTTCATCGGTTCGGCCTCAAAGTTCAAGCTCTGAAGTTCCTAACAACTTCAGGACCCATTCTGATCAAACCCAGAAGCCGAATAGCGAGAAAAACAGTTCCGGGAAAGCAAAGTCCAAAGCTTTGAAGATCTTGTATGGCGACTTGAAGAAAGCGAAGCAACCCATCTCTCCAGGTGCGAGACTCGCCAGCTTTCTCCATTCTCTCTTCAATTCGAGTGGGAATACAAAAAAGACAAAATCATCGACCGTGTCGAATTCTCACGAACCCAAGGTACCACAACCTTCGACTTGTTCTTCGGCTTCTTCGTTCTCGAGGTCATGCTTGAGCAAAACCCCATCATCCAGATCTGGGACTAAGAGATCAGTGAGGTTTTGCCCTGTTAGTGTGATAGTGGATGAAGATTGCAGGCCATGCGGGCAAAAGAACATTCTGCGAGAAGATGATCAAGAGAAGAAGAGAAATCACAATAATGAGGAGCTAAGGTTCCATGTGATGAAGGAGAGTCGAAGAGTGGAAGAGTTTGCGAGAGAGTTATTATTGAAGACGAAGATCATGAAGAAGAAAGAACAGGAATTTGACATGAAGTATGGGGCTGGAGACGACGACGAAGAAGAGGACGATGATGGAGTTAGTTGTTCAAGTTCTGATCTTTTTGAATTGGATAATCTGTCCTCTATTGGGATTCGAAGGTATAGAGAGGAATTGCCAGTGTACGAAACCACTCATTTCGATACTAATCGAGCCATTGCCAACGGCTTCATTATGTAATTTTGAAAACTAGAATATATATTAACTCTCTAATTAGAATGTTAATCGTGTGGGGGCTTTACAGTTCTGATCATAATAAGATCTCTCTTTTGGTATTGTTGGCTCTTCTTTTTATTTTTCCTTGATATATATCTTCCATTCAGATTCAGTAGATTTCAAACTAAGACAATCTCATCTAATATGGCTCGACCAAAATTAATGCTTTCTTCTATTTGATGTTTATGTGTGAATATGATCAAATTTACAATCTTTTAATAAGAGATTTGGTTTAATCATTATCATTATAAGGGTAAGAAGTCGAAGATAAGTAGCGAAAGATGAGGAAAATTAATATATAGAATTAAAATGAGGAGTGGGAGGGTGAAGTAGATGAAAATGAATTCAAAGGAACAATTTCTACACTGATTCATGACATGCCATGGCAGTGAAAGAAAAGCTTTCTGCTTTTCTCTCTCTCCTCCTCTCCCCCTCTCCCCACACACAGTCTCACACACTTGTAAGTATATATTGTGTGGGGACCTCTTTTTGCTTGAAATTAACACTATCTTCATGCACCACATTTGCTAGGGAGCAATAGTCAAAAAGTGGCTTATATGTTTGTGTGTGTGTGTGCACGTTAATATATTGGAGAATTTTTTATTTTTACTTTTCTAATTAATTATTCAAAGTTTCTCAGTGCTTTTGGTTATAAAAATAAACAAAAATTTTAAGAACAAAAAATAAATTTCGCGTATACATGATTTGAAAAAAATAAACAATATTAATACTAAGCTATTTGGGAGCAATTAACGGCTATTTTTTTTCTGAGATATAAATGAATAATCTTATTCATTTTGATACAAAGAATATATATATATATATATATATAAAACTAACCCCGGCTAAAATTTTACATACACGTACACAGGCTGAAACAATTTGTATACGGGACTTAGAGCACCTCTTTGTTAATTTTATTAAATTAAAATATCCATGCCTTATATGACTTAATTTGTGTAGGCAAAAATTAACAAGTGACAAATGAAATGTTGGGATAATTTTCAATAAAGGCATTATCTTTAGAGATAGAAAAAAGAGGTCAAATGATGGGTTTGATGGGAAAAAGAGTAGAGATGTAAGACATGGTCTCCAAATATGTGGACACAAAGATCTCTTCTTTGATACTCTTAAACCCTTCATGTCAAGTTTGGTTGGCTTCCATCTACACTTGACATCTTCAAAATTAAATTTCCTGGCCTTTTCCTATGAAATTATTTAATATTAAGTACCATCAATTAATTTTAATCCGTCAAATATCAAATGATAAAAAGTATTACTACCATAATTTAGATACACTGACCTAAAAGATATCCAGTATTACATATATTCATAGTTTATTTTCTTCTCTTTAAATTTTTATTTTATTTTCTTCAAGTTTGTTATGTTTAATTTGTCTGTGTGACAGTAGAATTTTAAGAAGTTATTCAATGTTTGAGATGCATTTGAAGATTTAGAGTTGAAATTGCTGAAAATTCCTTATGATCGATCTTATCTTCAACGTACGTTCACATATCTTTTTTAAGTCTTTTGTTTGGTCTTGTTTGTTTTGCCTATGAGCATTCAGCAGACCTTCGACTTTCTATTGTTTCTGTCTCTCTTATGCTGTCCAATGAAATTGCTTTAAATCTGAATTTCGTCTTCTTCCTCCCATATGTGTCGTGCTGTTGGATCAGAATTATTTTTAACCTTTTGCGAAAGTTTCAACCCTTCAAATAAATTTTGGTAAAAAGTCTCTTCTAGCAATCCATATCCACTATTTGTTTTACGGCTGTAGAATGCACATTGGGCGAATTCAGAGAAAGAAATCCATACTTCATTGGGATTCTCATTCTCATTTTCTTGGATCTGACAATAGAAACTGGAGAAAAAACAGACAAAAAAGAAAGAAAAAAAAAAACAGTTCAAAATTTGCTTTACCTTTTTTTTTCCTGGTCAAATGTTCTTTGTCCTCTAGGTTTTTTTAAGGAATTAATTAAATAATTACTACCTATGATTTTTTCTCCTTTTTTTAATCATTCATTGAAAGTCAAAATTACTGAAGGTAATATTGAAAAGGGTGATTAAATTTAGCAATGAATGAATGAACAAAATTTAGCAGAGTTTTTGGAGGACCACTGAATCATAACAGTGTGATATGATCATGGAATTGAATATTGTTAGCTACCAGAAGGGCAGAAGGGGGAATTACTAAAAGTTAAAAATGCATAATCTAACTTGGACTGTAGGAAAAGAAAAGGCTAGCCTATGTTCATAAAGTAGTTTAGGACCGCGATGCCTACATATTAGGGTGTGGCAATGTCGGGGACCTTTTGTGGGATGCCCTGTGATTATAAAGGCTTTAATGTGGTTGGGGATGAACGGTTGTATATATAAACTTTAACATATAGGTCATGCTGACCCTGACAACATAGTTTAACGAAAAAAATATAATTTTGAGCGTTCCTACACTTTATTTATATTTTAAAATTATATATTTTTTTTAAAAAAATTGTACCGATATATTTTACTAGATATGTTGAGTTTAAGTTTTAAAATCAAAACTCAAATAAAATGTAATGATTTAATATTATATTTTTTTAAAAAAATTATATCAATATATTTTACTAGATATGTTGAGTTTGAGTTTTGAAAGATTTGAATTAGTGTGGCCTTAAAATGCACCTACATTGTAGGTATAAAGAGGGCAACCGGCCAAGTGCCCAAAAAAATCATTTTACTTTATTACATGCCTATATATATATATAATGTAAATGATTGGAAATGGGATTCAAAATTTTACATGATTGGTTGGACAAAATTTGGCTGAATTGGATTTCCACATGGAATTTCCACAAAGGTAGAGCATGGAAATCCATTTCCACATGTTACAGGACCAATGTTACCGTTGGCAAATGCTAATGGTGAAACGGTAGATAAAGCAGCGTGGACGACAGTGAGGCAAAGAGAGGATGACGGCAATGACAAAGGCGAGGATGGTGACAATGAGTACGGCGACGGCGAGTGCATTGGCGACGGTTTGCAAATCTCTAGTTGAAGTTGGTTGATCCGTCGTCGTCGTCTTCTTCCCACTTAGTCTTCTCCATAGCCATCACCTTCGTCTTCTTCCCAACTCATCTTCATTGTTTCTGGTACCTTTTGCCTCTTTTTTCTAGACAGAGATGTTCGACAGTTCGACCTTTCCTCAGGTTTTGATTTTGTTTCCTTTCAGTTCCCACAGTTCGACCTCTTCCCTTGAACACATTGTTTTGTGGCTTTGATTTAATATCATTTTGCTTGATGGGATCTGGTTTTGATGCTTTATTTACGATGGTGGCTGCAACTTTTGACCGAGGTTGAAGGTGATACTGGGTTAGGGCAAGTTTTTTCGATGAGGGTATTTTAGGCTTATCATATCATATATATCAATACTAAATAAAAAATAAATGAAGTCCATCCCCATCCCCTTCTCTATATCTATGTCCATAATTTCATATTCATTTTCATTTTTATTTTCATTTCTTTTAAAATCATTTCTATGAACCAAATGGGCCCTTAATATTTAACAATTTTAATTTTAGTTCTAATATTCTCATAAAATATATGTATATATGTGTCGCCCCTGTATTGTACGTAATTCAATTATTTATGGGTTTATAATTGGTCCAGGCCTAAATTAAATGCCTTTAGAGCAATGGGAAGCATCCTCGGTTCAAGAAGGAATTTAAAATTTAGATAAATAATCATATTGTAATTTGTGATTTAACACAGTTTTTTTTTATAAATCTTATATCGATACATCAATTGAAATCATTGAAAATTGAGACCATTCATTTAATTTAATGCCATTTATTATCGTAATATGAAATTTCTATTAATTTGAGTTGATTGAATGCCAGTAACACACAACTTAATTGTAGTCATGAGAATGCCTTCATTTATACTAAATTTATGTTACTAATTAATATTATCAATAAATACAAATGATGCAATTAAAAGGCTTGTGGATTGGCGAAAGAGGAAGTGCGTGCCATGCATGCAGGAGGGAAATAAATATTGGATTAAAAGGTAACTAATTTGTGGTGTAGTCTAATCAGAATTATTTGGTTTGATAAATAGCAAACACCATATATATTGATAAAACTTAAAAGAGACTAAGTGTTGTGTGAGGTGTGAAATATATTTATACAGTTGGTGAAGTGGGGAAAGTTGACAACTACGATGATGATGATGATGATGATTCATATTCAAGGGATGGTGGGTGTGAGACCACCTACTCATCCTTCCTCTTGACTTTTCCTTTCTTCCTACTAAACCCTAATCATCATTCTAATGAGATTCCATACTCTAGAGAAATTTCAAATTCATGATACAAGTCTTTGACTAGTTGAAAAATCATGTCCTCAAATTCAAGGGAAGTGACAGGGAAGAGGTAGAAGTACTATTTTCAAATTTGGATCAACTTGGATGATCAGATTGTCATTCAAAGAAGAAAACAGTCTGGTTTAACTATTTGGCCCATTTTGATAGTTGACCCAGTTGGTTATTAAAGACTTGGAGCAAAAATTTGGACTTGAAGCAGTTGAACTGCTTTAACCTATTTTTTAATATATATATATATATATATATGTATGTATATATAAATATTTTTTTATTTAATTATTATGTTATTAGTTCAACTATCAATTAAACCATAAAACTCATGATCCATTGATATTTTCGGTTCATTATTCGCTCTAATTTTTAGAACATTGGATGGAAGCGATGGGAGGGAAGATGAGAAAGGAGGGATTGGATATGATTTGGGGGTATTTTGTGTCTTTTCACATTCGAAGTTTGGGGCAAAAAAGACATCCAAAACCTGTCAAGGAAAGGATGGTAATCCTCGTTCATAGGGATTGCCAAAAAAACGTGCAATCCAGATTGCCATTGTAATGATCATTACCATGAAAAAAGCTCGACCAAGCAATACAGACTCCATGGTAATGGGAATTAGGTTATGTTTTTATTTTTACTTTTATTTTTTGTTTTGGAGAATATATTACAAATAAAGTTAATTAGACCTATAAATTTAATTAAT